TGTTTGCATTTTAGGTTTTAGATGAATAAAAGTTATAGGAAGTTAATGCAGGAATAAATAACAACAGAATTTCCGTTTTGGAGAGAACTGCCCAGTTAAGGGGATACAATTTATATTCAGTCGTCATTCACTCATCGTTTATTAGAAAACTTTACTTAGCTAAACATAAGATATTTTGAAGGAAAACAAAAACCTGTAGCTATTGACTTCCAGTTTTGACTTTCAAATACCATGAAAGTCAATGATTACAAGTTTTTGGCTTTCATCAAAATATTTTCTTTTGTGTTCAACAGAAGAAAGAAACTCAAAGGTTTGGATCCACTCGGGTATGAACAAATACATTTTTGGGTGAACTATACCTTTAACACCTTGGCTAAGATCATTAATTCTGGGTATGTGCTCAGACACATTTTTAATTGTTTGCATCAGGATGTTGTTCCTTTTTTGTTTGCAAAGGTACACAGTAATTTAGTATTTTGCATATTGTTATCTCTTATCTGGCTGACTGGCAAACAAAGAGAGGTCACTGCAGATACAGATAATACTTTGTGAAGACAAGGATTAAGTGTGCTGCTCAAGGGCACAATGGCTTTCACAGGGGCCACACAGAGGAGCTGACACTTCGACAAAATACAAGGCCAGACTGGGACCTGATGGACAGTCCATGTGCTCTTGTGAAATGCACTTCTATTTGTAGGCAATCAGAGTTCAAATCCAGTTAGTGTCATTATCAGATCCCACCATTGTTAAAAAAAAAATTCTCTCATCTATTCTCTTATGCCTAGACCTTTATCTCTTAATTTTTATCATACAGAATGACTGCTCTTTGATTAGCTCATTTATTTCTGCTCTTCAGTGTTATGGTGCTTTTATCTTTCCCTTTTGTTCTCTTATGTTTGAATTGGCTTATATATATATATATATATATATATATATATATATATATATATATATATATATATATATATATATATATATATTAAATACACACATATTAAATTTTTTTGCCACTACTTTATCTGAATAATACAAAGCACCATTCAAATTTTACCTAGAATGCCTTTTCTTGAATTTAATTCATATACACAACCAATCAAAGTTTTTGAAAGAAGCTACTTTGGCTCGTCTAAACTGCAGGTGTTTAATAAAAACAAATGTTACTGAAAAATGTAGTATTGTGAAACATTTATTCATTCATTCATTCATTCATTCATTTCTTTTTCGGCTTAGTCCCTTTATTAATCAGGGGTTTCCAAAGCAGAATGAACCACCAACTTATGCAGCATTTGTTTTACATAGCGGATGCCCTTCCAGTTGCAAACCAACACTGGGAAAATATTGTAAACTATAAATACAATTTATAATAAATGTTTCATATTTATATTTTAAAGTTTAACCTATTTCTGTGATAACAAAGCATTTCTCAGAGTCAAATAAATGTTCAGAAATTTTAATTTGGTGCTCTAGTAGTATTTATTATTTTTTATTAATTCTGGAAAAGTTGTGCTGCATGATATATCTACACTACCTGACAAAAAGTCTTGTCGTCAATCCCGGTTGTAAGAGCAGCAAATAATAACTTGACTTCTAGTTGATCATTTGGAAAAGTGGCAGAAGGTAGATTTTCCTGATGAATCATCTATTGAACTGCATCCCAATCATCACAAAACACTGCATAAGACCTATTGGAACCCGCATGGACCCAAGATTTTTATGGAAATCAGGAAGTTTGGTGAAGGAAAATCATGGTTCAGGGTTACATTCAGTATGGGGTGTGCAAGAAATCTGCAGAGTAGATGGCAACATCAACAGCCTGAGGTCTCAAGACATTTGTGCTGCCCATTACATCACAAACCACAGTTGATAGCAAATTCTTCAGCAGGATAGCGCTCCTTCTCATACTTCAGCCTCCACAACAAAGTTCCTGAAAGCAAAGGTCAAATTGCTCCAGGATTGGCCAGCCCAGTCACCAGACATGAACATTATTGAATAAGTCTGGGGTAAGATGAAGGAGGAGGCATTGAAGATGAATCTAAAGAATCTTGAAGAACTCTGGGAGTCCTGCAAGAACACTTTCTTTGCCTTTTCCAGATGACTTTATGAACTTTAATTTATTATCAGTCCTTCAAGCTCATACAGTAGAAGTTATACCTGTACACAATAATTATTTTTCCACTGCACCATGACTTTATATTCTATACTGTATATTATTTCTGTTAAGTGACAAGACTTTTGTCAAAGCAAAGCCAGACATTACTGTCCTAATTAAAAATCAAGGCATGATCATATTTTATATAGGCGACAGGGCTTTTGTCATGTAGTGTATAATTACTGTCACTTCTGATTAATTTTAGGCATCCTTGCTGAATAAATGTATAAACGTCAACAAAACAAAACAAAACAAAACAAAACAAAACAAAACAAAACAAAACAAAACAAAACAAAACAAAACAAAACAAAACAAAACAAAACAAAATAGAGGCTTTAACAGAAATGTTTAGTTTTTCCTTTCTAAAAGCTTACCCAAACGTTCAACATCAGTCTTAATTTCAATAAACTTTAATTCCTGTAGTTCCAATTCATAGTCAAAATCAACTTTAAGTGGAATATATTAAGCCATTGTTTTTAATTCTGGAAAAAAAGAACAGCAAAGTAATTGAAATGCACTAGCTCATGGATCTTCCACTACCTGTATAACTGATGAAGAGCGCACCAGTGCACCTGCTAGACCAGACATGCATCTCACTGTGCAAGCAGAATAAAAAGCTATCTATTTGCTTCACCAGCTTGGGGAAACATCAATCAGTGACACGCTATAGAAGACATGTGGCGGAAAAGATGTAGTTGAACACAGCAGGATCACATCATTAGGCTGATTCCTTTCTTTTTTCTACATTGAATCATTTGTCTTTATCTGATTAGCATTTATGGCAGATCACAGTATAAACAAACCATTTACAAAGAAATATCAGAATACACTTAAAAGGAGCAATTGTTTGATCGGGCTATCTAATTAAAATCAGCTAACGCAACACAATAACAGAATCTACAGTAATTGAATTGAAAGCTATTTGAATTTGATTAGTTTATTGAACCAATTTTATAAGGCACAACTGAATTTATAGACACAATGAAGTCCTCTTAAAACAAAACAAGATATTCATTCATTCCTTCATTTTCCTTCGACTTGGTCACCACAGTAAAATGAACCCACCAACTCACCAACTAAGAACCCCAAACAGCACGTTTTAAACTTATACACACTTATTCAGACACACACACACACACACACACGCACGCACGCACGCGCACACACACACACACGCACGCACGCACGCACACGCACACACACACACACACACACACACACACACACACACACACACACACACACACACACACACACACACACACACACACTATGGCCAATTTAATTTAATCAATTCACCTATAGCGCATGTCTTTGGACTGTGGGGGAAAGCGAAGCACAGGCAGAACATGCAAACTCCACAAAGAAACACCAACTGGTACTCAAATTAGCGACATTTTTGCTGTGAGGTGACAATGCCTACCACTGAGCCACCGTGCCACCCAACAACTAGATATGTTACACTTTAAAAACAATAACTCAAATACTATTACTCAATTTATTAAAGTAATGCGTTACTTTACTTGTTACTTAGAAAAGTAAAATCAGTACATAACTCGCTTTTCCAATCCTGGTTTGTATAGTTGACACTGTTATTACTTATGCTTGAGTTGATACTATAAAACTGGCACTATTGATAATGTTAATGTCACTGTATATCCAGGTCCTGTGGAAGCTTCCGCACCTAAACATTACATAAAATAAAAGTCAGTCAATTTCTGATGTGGGGCATAATGGTGGCTCTTTTAGTAATTTTAGACCAATAAATAATAGTGCAATAATTGACTGTTTATTAAACTAGATTAAAAGTAGCATATGTAGGAATTCTAGAAGTAGCATACAAACTGATATGCAAAAATAAAAGTTTGTGGCCTGCAGCATACAATTATAAGTTATGCTCGCCATGGTTGGATTTATTTGACGAAAAGTGAAATTAAGTAAAAATATTAAGATATAATATACATATTTAAGTAAAAATATATTGATACAAAGTAAATGATTTTTACCGTCACTTCTTATCATTGTCATTGTGGATAAAATTCTACATTATTTTCATAAAAACCTTACTAATCCCAAAGTTTTGAATGGCATTTGAATTATTTTCTATCATATTGCCCTTTTTTCTATTTGTAAAAAAATTAGAAATAGAAAAATTTAATGCATGAAATTAATCAATAAGGGCAACACGATGACTCAGTAAGACCGCACAGCAAGAAGGTTGCTTGTTCGAGTCCCAGCTCGGTCAATTGCCATTTCTGTGTGGAGTTTGCATGTTTCCTCCGGGTGCTCCCGTTTCCCCCACAGTCCAAAGACATACGCTATAGATGAACTGAATAAACTAAATTGGCCATAGTGTATGTGTGAGAATGAGTGTGTATGGATGTTTCCCAGTACTGGGTTGCAACTGGAAGAGCATCTGCTGTGTAAAACATATGCTAGATAAGTTGGTGGTTCATGACCCCTGATGAATAAAGGGACTAAGCTGAAGGAAAATGAATGAATTTTTCATGTTTTATGCAAACAGATAACCAATCAAAGCAAAGATGACTGTCAAAGAGGTGGGGTTTAGATATAAAGGATCCTAGAACAAACTATTTCAGACATTGTGAGAAAAGAGAAAATGCAGCAATGTACATTGTGGGGAAAAAATAGTTTTTTTTTCCATCTTGAATGGATATGAAACAACTGCAGGAGACCTTCAAAACCTAATTTGGAACCTTTAAAATAGAATACCAGGGTATTTTGCTCAAAATGAATGTCAGCAGGTGTTACATTTTTCACATGCTGTAAATCAATAAAACATCATTTGTTCTTCAAGGGATTGCGAAGAATGTGTCCCAATACTACTTACAGGCAGTGGACCACCGTACGACCTTCTCCACACTCCCTCTGCCACTTCTGAACGCTGGCCAGCAGGTTGAGGAAGGCCTTTTTGGAGTCAGGCACGTCACGATACGCAGACCAGCGCAGGAACTGGAACTGGCACACAACCAGCTGACCCTCCTGCAGCTTCACATGAAAGAAAAAAAAAAGGAAAGGTCACAATCAGTAACGCAACGCCAGCTGTGCATTAGGACTTGTTTATGAATGTGTACAGTAGCGTAGCACTGTTCTCCAAGCTGAGGTCTCAGTAGTGCCAAGTCAGCAGGGTTTATGCTGTGATGAATGAGTCTGCTGGGAAAGAGTTTCAGTCGGGTGGGGAAGAAATACTGTACGGTTGGCCCTGGTACTGACGCTTTTTGGCTTGAAACGATGGTTGGATTAATATACAGCCCTCAAGCACACCCCAAAACTGCCCTCAGGGTTGTCCAGAGGAAGTAAACGTACTGACCATAGTTGAGTGACACACATATATTACAAAATTCTTTGACTTTTTTTTCTGTCAAAATGTTCATCCAATTTGTAAAATACTTGATTGGGAATACAGAGATGGATGAATGAAGGAAAACTAGCACATATTATAAAGTTACTTACAAATTAAAGGAACTTTAAGAGAAATTTAGTCATATATACTGATAATAATTACCCTAATTGAATCTCATTTGTGTAGTATGGTGGCTTTCAGCACATTGTTCTGTAGGTTTTTGTGTGTTAAGTAACAGTAATGGAGAACTTGCATTGTAATTTGACAGCTAACAATGTGTCCTAACCAGACGCCACGCAACAAAACGTAATAAATGGTATTGTTTCCTTGTTAATCAGAGCTTTTGTCCTAACCACATGTGACAATGAAATGCAAAAAATGAGTGACAGCAAATTGTATTTTAGAAATGGTTTCTATTTCTATGAATGATGAAAAGCAATCTTTTCTTTTGCTTTGAAAACTGTTCCTCTATTGTTCTTAGCATTGTAAAGGTACTGGGTAGTTTTTGCTGCATAATCAAATGTTGATCTTTACTTTATGTAAAAATGCTAATCAATAATTCATCCAATTTATATTCAATGGAAATGTTTTAATGCATCAATGAACTAACTGCAAACTCTAAAATAGTGTTTAATAAAAAACTTTGCTCACTTAAAATGTGAGTAAAACAGTTTCTATTTTAATGCCAAAAATTCAACCAAAGTAAGAAATAATATCAGTATCGTAACAATTAAAATCAATCAGTATTAAAAAATAATGACATTGTAAAATGATAATAAGAATCATTAAATAAATAAAATAAATAAATAAATAAATAGTTTGGTCATCCCTTCTACATAAAGTACCATATGTTTTTAATGCATGCTATTGTTTAATTACCCCTTTAAAAATCCAACCTCATCATCACTATGTAAAAATAATATGAAATTTGACCTATTTTTAAGCTATGATTTTAAAGGTGTGGTCCAGAGTGTATTGTAAAGGTTTGGTTATGTTCACGCAAAGCAATGTTTGCTCATGCTTTATTTGTGAAAAAAAAAATAATAATAATTTTTATCATTTCATATCTTACTCTGATTAAATACAGCTACTCAGCTAACATGAAAATTACATATTTTATATGTCAAAACGTCATATTTTCTAGTTCCTTCAAAAGGACCGCCCTCAAGAGGCTCTGATTGGTCAGCTAACATTATGTGCTGTAATTCGCAGATCAGTTCCATGTCACCAGGAATAGTGTCATACCTCTACTAGCAAGCGCAGAGCCTCTGCTATATAATATGACATAATACTGTCAGAGTAACTGTTAGCCAGATCTGTTTGAGCCTGAATCAGACAGAAAATGAAAAGGACACAGCTGAACCTCACGCCTGCTCTTTAAAATAAAATCTGACAAGTGTCTTTCACATATATTCGAAATAAGCATGTGTAAGTAATATGAAACGTTCACATGTCTTTTATGAGTTGGTTATTTGAGGTTTCGAAAGCAAGGACAGAGACACGGCAGCGCTGGTGAAGATTGTGGGTGTTTACAGCGATTGACGGATAAATCAGAATTTGTAGCTAAATTATTAATGGTGCCAAATAGCATTTCCCATTGTTTATATCCTTGTTTAAATCCTTGCTACACCATACCATTAACGCTAGAAACTATGAATGTAATAGATCAACTTTAACAAATAAAATGATTAAATGTTGTGACTCACAATCCACAGCTTCTTCTTTTATGGCTGTAGCTGCTCCTTCTTTAAGGAGTTTTTAGCTGAATCCAGCATTGAACAGAGATTCTGGAAGCTGTCCTTTGTTAAATGCTAGAGCTATATCTTTTTTACAATTCTTTGGAACATAAATAAAATTAAATTGTAAGCACCTATCTTTTTGTGCCAGGTCCCCAAATACAGAAACAGAATTTTGGCTTTCTCTGCTATTGACCTTATTCTTCAATGCGGAACTGCGCTTGTTTTTGCAATTGTTTTAGAACTTCTGATTCAGCTCCCTATGAAAGAAATAACTAAGAATAATAAACAGCTGAAAACGGTCAAACTATTTGCTCTACAAAGAAGTGTTTGCATGATTATACTGACAAAGTAGAATAATATAATAAAAAAGAATCAGTTTGCAACATTAAGCAGCATAACAATCTGTTTTTAACATCTAAAAATGAATAGAAGTAAATGAGACTGGTAGTCTCGGGCCAGAATAATTAAAATGGCTGTGCCCGCTCTTACACGAAGAATAAGGTAAATAACATGGTGTATGTACGTAACCTGAAGCTTTGTGATCACACCAACCCAGACGTATTTTTGTAGTCCCCAAACTTTGTTTGCTGTAGGCTTTGCTAAGCTAACTCTGTAAAAGCCAATGTCTCCCTTTGAGTTGAACTTTAAAGCGTATTACATTCAGAAATGTTGTTCATGTTCACACATTTACATTAGATATCAACTAAAATTTAAAATATGATATCGCACTGAACCACCCCTTTAAACATGCATGCACAAACGCACGCAACGGTGCGCACAAACACAATTATAAGGTGACATGCACATGCACAGCAGATAAAGTGCATACTTTAAAACATATCTACATAGCAGATAAAATACAATTTAAAAGAATTTATAGAAAAATGCATACGCCAACAAGTCTACAGGGCAGATAAAATGAACAGTTTAAAAGCATACGTGTTCAAAATAAATGTAAAAAAATAGGCTGACATGTACACGGCAGATAAAATGCACAGTTTAAAAGCATTTATGTAAAAAAAAAATATTTTAAACCAACATGTCTACACAGCAGATAAATCGCATAGCTTAAAAAAGCCTACTGTGTGTATTATAAGCTGACATGTCTGCACAGCATATATATAGTGCCCAGTTTAAAAGCATATGTGCTAAAAAAGAAAACTTATTATGAGCAAACACGTCTACATCTCAGATAGATTGCACATTTTAATGGCACAAATGCAAACAAACACTTAATTAAAGTGGACATATTTGCATGGCAGACAGAATTCACACTTTAAAAACATAAGTGTTAAACTAAAACACTAATATTATCTTCCCCCAATCTAAATACTGTACTAGAGCCAACCCGTTTGAAAAATACACACATACACACCCACAGTCACATCCACACACCCCTTAATTCCCTCTGTTGAGCTGGAAATGTCTTTCCCCCACTCAATCTCTATAGTCTCTAACGTTCCACAGAAACGTCAAAGCATTAAAACACTGTGACATCTGTCAAAAGCACACCGAGCCCAGAGAAAAATGCAGGCGTCTATTAGGCGAGGAGAACTGCCATCAAACATAGACACAGAAAAACAGAACAAAATTAGCCCATGCAATAATGACAGGCTGGGGCAATTTGAAAGTGGTAAAAATGACCTTCCGTGGCACGCTCATTAATGTATATTTCATATCTTCGCAGGCTTATGAAAACTTATTTCAGCATCCGTCCTGTGGTGCCATATGAAGTGTTGTGCTGATGGTATGAAAATGGATATTTTGAAATGGCTTTTCCTCTGTTCTTTAATTGCTCTTGTAGCTTTGCCTGATGAAATATATTGGACTGACAAACTCTATTTATTATACTGCTTTATCTTGTAGTCTATTAAACGGTGATCCGAATGTAACATGGCTAACAGAGCAACACAAAAGGCAGCTTTCGGAGCTTTTCAAAGATTACATAAAAGTCTCCGTTTCCTCACTTCCAACTTGCAGAAGTAAGCTGACGGTTAAAAGGCACAACATAATGATCAACCGGTTCCAAGGTATGAAAAATGTATTATCACAGAATATCATTAAAGCCCTGTGGTGGTAATACAAGGAATTCTCTCAGGAAATTACTGTGATTCTACAGCATATTTTTTAGAAGGAATATTATAAGGCTCATTTGCTCAGCTGGAAGGCTGACTTTTTACCTTATTTGTACCTTTAGAAGGACAAATAGACTTTAAACTTCAGTAAACTTTACTTGCGAATGTTTCTATAAAGCACAATTTGCCATAATTGCTCAATTATAGCAATTTTCTGAAGTGAAAATTATGAATATGTGATTAACTTTGTTAACTTCAGGGTATTTTATGGGTCTGCTGCAGCTACAATGCACTGTGCTGAAGAGAGAAGAGTCTCACTCACTCTTGTCACATTTTTGACTCTGAAAAGTCGGGTGATGATGTCCTCATCTGCAGACATGGACAGAAACTCCACTTGCATAGGCCCATACTGCTGAAGACCTGGTTCAGGCCAGTACTGCACACACGGCTGCAGAGAGAAAGACAGAAGCAATGAATATACGGAAGGAAGACAAACTGATTTAATTTGTGTTACAGGCAATAATTTGTCATTACAAGAATTTTTCAAGGGCATGTTTCTTCTGTGAAGGTGTTTGAATCACTGTTTCACATTATGGAATGTTTAAACGGGATTTCTTCATGTTTTCTGACAGTAAATTTAAGATTTTAAAGACCAAGTAATAAAGATTTAAATGCTTTGTATATAAATGCTTCAAAGTTCAATTAAAAGAAGTCAAATCAAACTTTCCATTTACTTTTAATGCCTTTGCCTAACACGAAAATATATCTTTTGCTGTACCTTCTGATAAACTAGTTAGTTAGTTAGTTAGTTAGTTAGTTAGTTAGTTAGTTAGTTAGTTAGTTAGTTAGTTAGTTAGTTTACTTATATAGCAATTTTTTTACAGAACAACATTCCCCAAAGTACTGTACAAACAATACTAATTCAAAAGTTGACACTATAAGCTGGTGATTGGTAGTAAAGCTTATTTGGCATGCTGTCCCAAGAAAGAGCCCTAAGCTCATAACCTCCTCAAGCTCGGGGCTCCCTTCTGTTTGCAGGGCGAAAGGGGAATTTGAGCTCAGGTAGATCTCGAGTTTTACAACCCTAATGAAGCATGATTCACTTGTTTAAATTCCATTACGACCTTCTGTTATTAAATTAACTTATGTTTTGCTAAATCCTCTCATTTAAGCCCTCAGTTTACTGGCCCTGCAGTTTGTTTCAGTCGCAGCAGGCTGTCATGTACTGTTTGTGCTCGGTTCACTGATTCACGCATGAGCAGTATTGTATCGGTTTACCGCTTCTTAAATCTCATCTCAGTGAGCTGTTCTAATAACTGAATAACTCAGTATATATTGGTTTATTTAAAGTCAGTTTGGGGTATTAGGTATTTTAAAAAGTAAGTTGTTTGTGGATAACTGGAGTGCTTATTGGAGACGTGAATCGATTCAAATGATTCAATTCGATTTAGTGAACTAGTTTAACTGATTCACTTAGAAAATTCTGTTAAAAAGAACGATTTGTTAAAGTAAAACCCATTATTGAATACAAATGTGTTAAAATAATACTTTTAAGTATCTGCTTGGGTAGTATTTAATGATGTCCACTCGTTGTTTTTGCTGCGGGAGCAACAGCGAGGCTTGACTGGAGGAAGACCGGCTTGATCTGGCCAAAGGCGTCGGGATTACTGACGCTGAGATGCCGTACAGGTCAAACAACTGGCAGCGCGAAGGAAACCAAATGTAGAACTACTCATCTCTCTTATGCACCTGACACTTTATTTAAACTCCATCTTACAAGAACTCAATAAGGTTACTAATGGTTAGTCGTTATTTTTTTTATTTTATTTCATCTAATAAAAATGTTTTGAAATTTTAGTTTTCATTTTTTTCGTTTGTTTTTGTTATCTATAATAACCTTGATGCAAACTCTACACAGAAATTTCAACTGGCCCAGCCAGGACTCGAACCAATGACCTTTATGTAGTGAGGTGATCACCGAGCCATCGTGCTGCCTATACTGAGGTTTTATGAATCAAAACAATCAGGCTGTGCAATAAACTGAATATCTTTATTACATTATTACTTTCAGCCCACAGCCTTGATTAATGCTGTTTGTTTGCAAACTTTTTGAAGGTTGAATCTAAGATAAGTACAAATACCATTAGAATACAATTTTGAAAGTCAGAGACTACTGATTTGCATTATATGTATATCACCAAGGACAAGATTAAAATCTTTCATTTTATACTTAAGAAAAAGTCACCCACACATTGGACAGCCTGAAGGAAAGCGAATCAACAAGAAATTTACATTTTTAGGGCAACCTAGGCCTTTCAGGCATTTTAAGACCTTTCCAAGACCTACATAAACATTATTTAAAAAAATGAAGGAATAATACAGTAGAAAATGGTTTTGGTGGAAGTAAAATTGTGCAAAAGAGGGGAAAAAAAAGAGTATTCGAAGCTGCAAACTGGTTTTGGAAGCAGGGGTTCATTAAACAAAACTGACTGTGATAAAAAGAAGAAAGAAAAAGGGAAAGTTCTAGAGAATTCTGAATGGGAAAAGGTTTTAAATATTCTGACCCCTCTCTACAGTATACTGACTATAACACAGCTCTACAATTGAACATCAATACATGTGAAGTGCAGTCGTCATACTGAACTGAGCTGAAAAAAAAAAAACATCTAGAGACAGCGAGAAAAAGGAAGAACATTAATGACAGCAAGGCAAGTGAGGTGATAAATATTAATACTTATGGACTGCGGAGAGCAATCATGCGAATGAAGAAGAAGGAGAAACGTTAATCCACCAGGAACAGATCGGCGGCGACAGTGACACTGAGTAACTGCCGGCATGTTAGCGCACGTCAGGGTTTTCAGAGAGCCGTGATCGAAAAGAGCACCGGAATGCAACTCCGCTACTCCAAGGAAAGCTGTATGTAAATGAGACTTGACTATAGGCTTATGAATATAGAACATTTCACAGGGAGATTAAGAGAAGCCGGGGACAAAATAGCTTAAACGACTTCAAAGGACGTGCGTCGATGTGAATGCACACAAAAAAGCAACCGATAAAGATGTGTTCTTAAGTAAAATCCTAAAAAGTCCTTTTGGGTGCTGAATTTAGTGAAACTTCTGGTGGCGTTCAAGATGTTTAGGCTTACCCAGGCAGAGTTGGACTGGTTGAGCTGATTCAGCATGACCACAGAGGTGCAGCCATAGTCAAACACAAGTCTCCAGAAGTCAGAGGTGGTGCCGGGCAGCGGATGGGGGGTTACAATGAAGGCAGCAGGCCGGTGGAAGCTATCCATCAGTGCTGCGTTAATGTAGTTGTTACTCTCGCCCTCGGTGGTTACCAGGAAAGCGAGGGCTCTGTCCGGTGGGAGGACATCCATGCTGCGGTTCTTCTCTCGATTTCGTGGTAACAAGGCAATGCTGCACTCCTCCACGTCCAGATGAGGTGTCACAGAGTTTAGTGTCTGAGAGAGAAAAAAAAACACTGATGTTTAGGAGATGCTAAACATGATTTAGGCTTTAGTGGGGTTTTTTATTCATGAATTTATTGTGATGATGACATTTTCTTAATCACTCCATGTCTCTTGGAAACACTGTGCATTTCAAATTGTGCTTCATAAAGATGAGTGGGCTTGACAAACCACCTGTAGAACTACTCTTCTACGCAAGCTATGATGATTTTCACCTTAGTGCGGATGTATACCTGGCCAAATTGCACTTTAGGTGGCGAGAACAAGTCTTCGAACCTGTGTGTATTCCTACTGTGAATTTACCACATTAAGCGTGACATGCTAACATGGATGCAGTTCACTAGAGTAAATCTGATTAATGTCAGCTCCATATCTAACTATCAGGCACCTGTAGAGTTTATGCGTTAGAGTAAAATTTTATTTACAAATAAAATTAATTTATTTATTTACAAAAAAATAAAATTTTATATATAAATAAAATAGATCAGCTGCTTTTTAAAATGAATGACGGTGAGAGAAAGTCAAAAAAGTGCCCTTCTGAATCAAATCAGCAGGATGCCCTTCTGGATCTTTCATTTACTGCGAAGACACTACTGACTACGCTTACATGGACATCTGTAATCTAGTTATTTGCCTTAATAAACAATAATATAATTAAGGTGTTTAAGTAAAGTGCTTTCATGTAAGAGTTTCCTGTAATTTTGGGTGACTTTAGCTGCAGTTTGGCAGTTTCACCTTCACTCATGAACATTTCATTCATGCCACTGTGACATACTGGGGTATCAGACGCAAATAAGGAGTAAGGACTGGAGAGAGTGTTATGGAATTTATAATTTTTTTCTTTTCCGAATGAAAAGAAAAAAAAACTCCCGCATTTGGCGATGTGTGTGTTTACTGACGCGTGTGTGGATCTTGTCGAAAAATACGGCGAAAAGTCCTAAATGACGGTAATAGTTTGATTGCTGTGTTAACTTCAATAATGACACTAAATTATGTATACTCCACGTCTTAATTCCATTTCTGTTTTGTTCAGTTATGACTTTAGTCTGATTAAGGTGATCAAAAATCGCTGTTTAGAGTCTGTGAGGCCTACAGTTTAAAATTCATGTTTAACTGAATTTACAGTTAGTAAACACAAGTACATCTTATTGAACATCATTTATTGTCATCACCAGTTTTCATAGTAGAGCAGTTTCTCAAGCAGTTTTTGATGCATTTTGAAAACAGGAGATGAGCCCCTGGTCTAATGCACCACCTGGCTTGAGAAACCCATTCTCAAAGACTAACTTTTAGCCTTTTTAATTTAGATGGTGATCAAAAATCGCTGTTTAGAGTCTGTGAGGCCTACAGTTTAAAATTCATGTTTAACTGAATTTACAGTTAGTAAACACAAGTACATCTTATTGAACATCATTTATTGTCATCACCAGTTTTCATAGTAGAGCAGTTTCTCAAGCAGTTTTTGATGCATTTTGAAAACAGGAGATGAGCCCCTGGTCTAATGCACCACCTGGCTTGAGAAACCCATTCTCAAAGACTAACTTTTAGCCTTTTTAATTTAGATGGATCTAGATGAATATTAAGATTACAGTGAGATTGATCTAGATTTACCACCTATAAAGGTAACACAATATTCACATTTAATACCTGTCCTACACAATATTCTGCACAACATTGAAAGATATTCACCTTTAATACCTCTCTTTCACAATATTCTGCACAACATTGTTCAGTCCCATGCAAAAGTACTTGTATAGCCTGTCTTATGTGTATAACTAAGTATCTTATGTGTACAGTTATGTTTTATGTGTATAGTTAAGTATCTTACAAACATACTGTATATAATATTATACAAATAATAACAATTATTTTAATAATAATTTTAAAAGACAATTAATTACACAGGCAACACAGTGATCAGTGGATAGCACATTTGCCTCACAGCATGAAGGCTGCTGGTTTGAGCCTCGGCTGGGTCAGTTGGTGTTTCTCTGAGGAGTTTGCATGTTCTCCCTATGTTCACGTGGGTTTCCCCCGGGTACTCCGGTTTCCCCCACAAGTTCAAAGACATGCAGTACAGGTGAATTGTGTAAGCTAAACAGTCTGTATGTGTTTGAATGAGTGTGCATGGATGTTTCCATGGAAAGGCATCCGCCACGAAAAACATGTGCTGGATAAGTTGGCGGTTCATTCCACTGTGGTGACCTCGGATTAATAAAGGGACTAAGTCGAAAAGAAAATGAATAAATGAATGAAAAATTACACTGAAATTATAAATCAAACAAGCCAGTACATTTATGATAGTAAAATATGTTAATTTCTCTTTTAGAAGATGTTCATTTAGAAGTTCTAAAAGCACATCAAGCCATATTTATCTCAAAAGACCAAATTTGATTTCAGTAAATAAAGCAAATTAAACACAGCAAATAAAAAGTCAAAAGGAGAGCCCAAAAACCAAAGAAAGAAAGAAAGAAAGAAAGAAAGAAAGAAAGAAAGAAAGAAAGAAAGAAAGAAAGAAAGAAAGAAAGAAAGAAAGAAAAAAAAAAAGAAAGAAAGAAAAAAAAGAAAGATTCCTGCTGGCACACTGGTGATTATGAAGATTTCCATTACGCACTAATAGTGCTGTGCATCTGTTGACTACAGATGTGGCCAACTTCAACAACAGCTTTTCATTCAATCTTAAATAGCATTAAATCTGACTTGTCCAAACAAAAATGCCAAGCTTATTCACAGCTAAGAATTTTTAATGCAAAAATTCCTCCATTAGCAGGTCATAGCTATAGAAAAATCTGCATTCCTTTGCTTCTGTTTCAAGTAATTGCTTGTAATGAATGCATTGTAATTCACCTAAAATGTACAAAAGAAAAGAAAAAAAACTTCAATGTTGAGGTAAGCGCAGGAGAGCAAGAATAGTTCAGTCTGCCTCCTTCTGAATCAATAAAAGTATTCTCAGCGACACGCGTGGAGTTGTACATCTTTTATTAAATAACCTTCACTGGCCTTTCGCTCCCTGGAGATCTGTGGCAAAGTGAAACACGACTGACTACTGCTCCCAATGGAGGAGGAATGAAAGGTATTTCTTCTGTTATACGTTCTGCACTGCCACCTTTCTTATTTATGTTCAGCAGGAAACAATTATCGATTAAACTTCTATCACTTATAGTCTCTTACTGAAGAACCTTCGCCTAATATGCCCACATTGCTATACAAACGAAATGAAAAATGCTCTAGTTTGAAAATAGTTCTGTCATTTATTGCCGCTCTGCTTTCTCTAAATCATTTTGTAATGTGTGTAGGAGTGTGTACTGTACACTACAGAAGGGTCTTGTGCCGCTGCAGGCATCTTTTGTTGGCGAGTTCTCCATTCGAGCCTTTTGTTTTTGAGTCGAAAAGATTATTTAAATGAGCTCTGAACGTCTGGCCACACTTCAATACATTTATTCAACAGCATTGATCATTAATCTTCGGGCAGCATGCAATTCACACTTTGTGAAGCTCGGCGTCTTGTTTGACTGCCGCTGTCGACCTTGCTGTGCTCTACTGAGCAAATTCACATTTATGGAACTTCATAGGGAGTTAATTACACTTGGGGAAATTTAAAAAAAAAAAGAGTATTTTCCTTTTCAAATTACAGAAATACGCTAAAAAATATTGACCTTGGGCAGCTGGTCTTCAGCACACAACTGTGCGTTCATGAGACTTCATTAGTGTGGCGAATCATTGCAGTTTTCTCAGAAAAAGCACGCAAGTTGTGAGAATTCAGAATGAATAAAAATAAATGTGACACAAATTACAATCTGTGTATTTTTTTTTCTGAGGTAAATAGACTTATTGGCCACTTTATTAGGTACATTTTATTAGCACTGGGTGGGACCAATGTTTTCCTTCAGAACAACCTTAATCCTTAAAAACAAAATTCCGAATACATTACTCAGAGATTTTGGTCAATATGACACTACACAGTTCCTTTACATTTCATACATTTGACCATCCTGCTCCAAAGGTGCTCTATTGGGTTAATATCTGCTAACTGTGGAGGACATTTCAGTACAAATCTCACTGTCATATTCAGGGAACCAGTCTGAGATTTGAGCTTTGTTATATATAATGTCCTGTTTGCTGGAAGTCACTGACTGTCTGATGATGTGCTCGAAACGTTACACACTTTGTGTTAGCCTTTTTAATTTAATAAATTGGTATCTTTTGGAGCTTTGGTGTAGCCACCTTTTTGAATATATTTTTTGCAATATCTGCTCGATTCACTGTGGTCATAAATAGATGAACATGGCCAGCAACAATGCTCGGGCTGTGTTGTTTAATGATGCCTGGTGGCACTAAGGGGCTCACCAAGAAACTAAGTACACCAAGAAAATCTCCCTCAGACCATGACACCACCAATAGTCAAAACTGTTGGCATAAATCATTATGAAACCATGCTTTTTGTTGATTATCAAACTTTTTTTTTGTTTTATATTAATTTCAGTAGAATTCTAGAATAATATGGAACTGTTTACATACTTTAGGCAAAGTCTTTTAGGAACTGAATATGGAAGATTAACTGTAGATTTCTTTTTTGTTTTTTCTAATTGGATTTGTAAACCTTGAATTGTATTTGGATTTTATATTGGATTTGTATTGTAAACCTTAAATAAAAGTTAAAAGCATGTCTTTTTATTTAATACGTAATGTTTTTACTTCCTATGTGCTTAGAAAAATATAAATTATTCATTTATTTATTTATTTATTTTGTTTATTTATTCGTTTTTATTTATTTATTTATCTTTATTTTATTTTATTTTTTTATTTTTTTATTTTTTTACAAATTTCAATGCTGAAATAGCTAAAAAAGGTCTGCAGTTTCTGTCTGGTCCTGTTCATAAGACAAGGCAACATTTTTCCAATCTTCTATTGTTCAGTTTCTCAAACTGTAGCCTCGGTTTGTTGTTCTCAGCTAACTGGAGAGGCACTGGTGCGCTCTTCTTCTCCTGCTTTAGCCCATTTGCTTCAAGTTTGGTCATGCTGTGCATTCAGAGATGCTCTTCTTCAGACCTTGGTAACAGCCAATGGTTATTTAAGTTCAGCTCAACCCAGTCGAGTCATTCTCCTCTGCTAACAACAAGGCATTTTTACCCAAATAACTACCTCTCACTGGGTATATTCCTTTTTTTAGACCATTCTCTTTAAAATCCCAGCACATCAGTCATCGACCATGATAAACCATGCCACTTTCACGTACCTTCCAATCCTAATGTTTGGTTTGAACTTAAGCCTGTTGTTCTAATCTAAGACCTAAACTTAATTTCAACAATAACAATAACAAGCAATAACAATCAGTTAAAAAATGTGTACCCAATAAAGTGGCCAGTAAGTCTACTATTGGAGCTATTTAATTTCGCATAAGAATAGGTTAAGGCCAGTTGTTTTTTATAACACCACCTGTAATTTTCTTAAGCTTGATTTTGATTACTATTTACTATTATTCACATCTGACAAAGAAAGAAAGATATACAGCACAAGGACAATGCCAAGATGTAAAAAAAAAAAAAAAAAAAAATATATATATATATATATATATATATATATATATATATATATATATATATACAATTTCTATTTTGGTTAAACAATTTCTCTAAATAAATAAATAAATAAATAAATAAACAAATAAAATATAATAATATATAGTAGCAAAAATATATATCGCAAGAAAAGGAGGAACATTGGATGACTTTAACTGTGTATGCAGCATTTGCACAGAAACTGATATTGAAGGATGGGCTAGAGAAACCTGTGAGCGTGGAGCTGTTTCTATCACCAGGTGTGATGTGGCAGATTTCCAGTGACAAGCAATTTGTCACTGAAATTCATCATTGAATCCGAAACCACCTTGCGAAGTGACACAATGACAGCCAATCAGAGGAGACTGTATGTAATATTTCAGATGCACAGTAATTGTGTTTTTTGCACCTACGCGATCACAATTTTATAAAATGACAATATATTAAATATATACTACACAAAGTATTAAGGCAAGTAAAGCCAAAAACCTGGAACTCCTCTCGCAGCTGTGAAGAGTTGCTCTGAGAATCCACCCGCAGCATCTCTTTATAAGCCAGAGCAAACTCATTTACTGGAATGGCCGTCTCCCCACACAGGCACGCCTCCAAGATGGCATCGTGAATGAATATGTACTGCTCCTGTAGAGAGAGAAAAAGACCTTTGGCTTTGATGCTTACAGTATAAAGACAAAGAAAAAAAATAGAAAGGGAAACACTTAAAATTGGCATTTCATGACATAAATTAAATGTAGACTACTTGTATAATTTTTTTTAAATGTTTGACTTGTGATGTCAGACTCACTCTTGAAAATCATTTGAAACAAAGTTTGTAAAAAAAATGATCTTAACAAAATACACTAATTATGTTCAACTAAATGCTTTTGTAAAGTTCACAGTACAACTGAAGATACTTTTTTACTACTTTTTTCTTTGTTTATTGGGGGGAACCAGGGTCCAGAAACTTTATTTTAACTTATTTGTAATTAATTAATAAATAATTTTATAATTAAGAGTGCAACAGATAGAACAGATAAACACAGAGCACATACGTAAACAGCAATAGAACAGAAATAAAAATAACAGAAGTGTGTAGAAAAAGCCATGACAATTAGAATAAGTTGTATTATTCAAATAAAAAAATGAATAAATAAAAAATAAAGTGTATAAAGGGCCATGACAATTATAATAATACTTGAAGTATTCAAATAAAAAATAAAAAGTAAATAAATGTGTATGAACAGCCATGACAATAAAAATATTTGTAGTATTCAAATAAATAAAAAACAAACAAAAAAACATTAAAAACAAACAAAAAAACAAACAAATAAATAAATAAATGTGTATAAACAGCCATGTCAACTAAAATAATAGTAGTAGTATACAAATAAAATAAATAAAAAAATAAATAAATGTGTATAAACAGCCATGATAAATATTATAATATTTGTAGTATTCAAATAAATAAATAAATAAATATATAAATGTATAATGATAACAATAATAATATTAATAATAATAATAATAATGAAATAAAAAATAATAATAAATCCACATTTTCACTGCATACCACATCTATCTTACCTTGCATCTATTACTGTTGGGTTTAAATGTTCATGCCAATAAACATGAAGCTAATAAAAACAAAATGTGATTGGTTGCTTTGCTTGTTAGTGGGTGGTCTTTGGCCAATGTAAGCTGTGATGGAGTCTAGACCTTTTGCCATCAGTCAGAAGCTTGGCTTATATGAGACTTATCTCGGGTACACTTCAAATTCAGATTCAGACTTGACTGAAAGTGATGTGCACGTGGGTGACTTTTCTGCTGTGTAATTATTCCATTCAGCTTGACGCATTCATGTGGATATGCTTTTGTGGGCATTAGGCAATACATTAATGCATTAACTGGGTCCAATCACAGTGGAATGGAGTCACTGTTTTCTGTGATTTTTTACTTTTATTTCGAAAAGAGTTCAAGCGAAGTCTCCATCTGAAAAATTATCCACTGTGAGTTACTTTTTGTGAGTGTTACTTTTACAAATTTGTAGTTTTAAATAAATGTAATGTAATATTTGTGACCCTGATGTATTTGTGGCCATTGTATATATATTGTATATATTTTGGGTAATACTTTAGTTTAGGTCACAATTCATGGTATTAACAAACCATTAACTAACATTATTAGCTTAATAAACTACTAATTAGCTGTTTATTAATAGTTAATAAGGTAGAAGTTGGGCTTAGGTTTTAGGTAGGATTAAGGGTGCAGAATAACATTACATTTTATAACTATTAACGAACAGTTAATATCTTAATAATAGGCAGGTAATAAGCCAGTAGTTACTAGCATGGACTGTGACTTAAACTAAAGTGTTAACAAAATATTTCTTATTTTAATAATTCAGGTTGTGAAATATGTGAATTAGCCAGGAGATTTAAAAAAAATACAAAATATACTTTATGTATGCCATTTAATTAGAAAAGTGCCAGTTTTATTTATTAAACACATGGAAACAAAATAATGTACTTGCACTATAAGTGGTTTTCACTACAGTACTACAGCCTATTTGGCCCATTCAGAACTCAAATGACTATGAACGTCTGTACAGCACAGTGGAATACTACTAGTTTACCATACAACCTAACCATATGAGTCAAACATTTTTAAGTGTATTAATAATACATTTTTTTTCTTATAAATACATTAGGCTACATATACAGTTGAAGTCAGAATCATTAGCCCCCTTAGAATTTTTGTTTCTGTTTTTAATATTTCCCAAATTATGTTTAACAGAGCAAGGAAATTTTCAAAGTATGTCTGATATTTTTTTTTCTCTATTGGAGAAAGTCTTATTTGTTTTATTTCGGCTAGAATAAAAGCAGTTTTAAAGCCATTTTAAGGACAAAGTTATTAGCCTCTTTAAGCTATATATATTTTTTGATAGTCTACAGAACAAACCATCATTGTACAATAACTTGCCTAATTACCCTAACCTGCCTAGTTAACCTAATTAACCTAGTTAAGCCTTTAAATGTCACTTTAAGCTGTATAGAAATGTCTTGAAATATATCTAGTCAAATATTATTTACTATCATCATGGCAAATGTAAAATAAATCAGTTATTAGAGATGAGTTTTTTAAAACTTTTATGTTTAGAAATGTGTTGAAAAAAATCTACTCTCCTTTAAACAAAATATTGAGGAAAAAATACACAGGGGATCTAATGATTCAGGAGGGCTAATAATTCAGGGGGGCTAATAGTTCTGACTTAAACTGCATATACGAAGCTGAAGCCCCCCTAAAATAAACATTCTAAAATCGCTCCTGAATGTTATGATATTTTGTATTCATTAAATCATTAAATGTTAATAAATTATTGTTTTCCATTAACAAATTATGTAAATCTCCTACATTTCAACTAGAAATTTGCATTAATAAGAACTTTATTTTTTAAATTTTAAGTAAAGTGATTTTTCCCAATCTGAACCAATCTGATTCCAGATTATCAAAAAATCTTTTCTCAGTTTCTCAACAAGGTTCTATACTAACAAACCATATATTCATGGAAAACGTATTTATTATTTTTATAAATGGTGCATAAATCCCAGTTTCATAAAATTTATGGCTGGTTTTCTGCTTCAATGTTGCATTTTATAATATTTCCTTAGTTTTAGTTTTGGATTTTTGGAGAAGCCATTGCCTCTATTTTCCTTTGAGAAAACACACTTGAAAGATGAAGTGAGAACAGATCAGGACAGGAACAAGGAGAACAGAAAAAACAGGACTGGAAGAGACACAATGAACACAAGATAAAGGACGAGTAAATAGACAGCAATAGCTGAATTTGTTTAACCTCTGCGTTTCGGATGTAAACAAAATTTGTTGCATGTTTCAAAATGCGCTGCGAGTGTATACATCGCTCTACATAAACAAACACTCGCGGATGGATTTAATTAAAGCATCTGGTAAATAATTACTAATGTTTTAAACAGTCAAATGACGATGAGATTTGCATAATAAAGTTTGAATATGCTAATTTCAGAAGATCTAAGCAAAGGCACAAGCCTCCACAGAGGGACCAGATGCAACATAGTCCATTTACTTATTTATTTATTTTTGCCATGTATCAATACACACTTTCCGCTGCATTCCATGGCTAAACATTTTGAATATTCATGGCAACTCCTACAGAGCTTATGACTATGCAAGCACAAGAGGTGTCTTCTGCCACATCTGAGAGAATTTTGCATAAATATGCACCTCTGTCTGGATCATGTTGATGCGGCGAGAGCAGAGGGTCTTCACGCAGTTGTAGATGTCCACTACTCCTTCACACTCTGCCATGTCCAACATCACATCCAGCACTATATAGCAGCCGGTTCTGCCTGCCCCCACACTGAAGAGCAAGCACACAAGATGTCTGTCAGAAACTATGATTTACGACAATTTTTTTGTGAACTAAATATACACAAATTTCATGTAAAAACAGCCGACAGCAAATAATAGCAACCAACTATCTAAAAGTTTAGTTTAGTTTAGTTTAGTTTAGTTTAGTTTAGTTTAGTTTAGTTTAGTTTAGTTATTCTGTTTATGTTTTGCGGTGTGATGTTATGTGACGTTATTACGACCTAATAAAGAAGATGTCAACATCAAAGTCTTGTGTAAAAACAGCCGACAGCAAACAATAACAACCAACTACCAAAAAGTTTAGTTTAGTTTAGTTTAGTTTAGTTTAGTTTAGTTTAGTTTAGTTTAGTTTAGTTTAGTTTAGTTTAGTTTAGTTTAGTTTAGTTCAGTTCAGTTCAGTTCAGTTCAGTTCAGTTCAGTTCAGTTCAGTTCAGTTTAGTTTAGTTATGTTATTCTGTTTATGTTTTGCGGTGTGATGTTATGTGACATCATTACGACCTACTAAAGAAGATATCAACATCAAAGCCTTATGTAAAAACAGCCGACAGCACACAATAACCAACTACCAAAAAGTTTAGTTTAGTTGTTTTGTTAATGTTATGCCATGTGAAGTTATGTGATGTTATTACAACCTACTATAGAAGATGTCAACACAGTTTCATGTAACAAAAGCCAACTGCAAACAACATCAATCAACTATCTAAAATTTTAGTTTAATTAAGTTTAGTTTAGTTTTGTTGTTATGTTTATGTAATGTGGTGTGATGTTATTAAATGCTTTTATTTTAGATCCATTTATTACATGTCAGACTAAAGAACAGCATCATGTCATCATATTAGAAAAATTTCTGATTGATTATGCACCACTGAAGACTGTAATGACGCTGAAACGTATTAAAATTCCACTACAAGCAGACATTACATTTCTAACTATATTAAAACAGAAATCAGTTATTTTATACTGTACTAATATTTCATAATATTGCCATTCTTTGTTCAAATATAACTTTTAAGAAGTTTTCAGCAGTAGTGTAGGTGTCAAAGACAAATGGGTTCAAGCATCAAAACAATACATTTTTATACACATTTAAAATGCTTGACAAAAGACACCCACTAAAATGTCATTTACCATTACAAAAGTTTATAAGCCAACAATACTGTCAGACATATTTAGAAGAGTCATTTGATTGAATACAAAAAGTTTTATGCATAAAATGCAATAAAACTAGTATCATGTTATAAATTTTAATAAAATGTAATTGTTTAATAACATATTTACAGTTAAACTCATGATATTTTACAGTAAAAGTAATAAACTAAATGATAAAAAAACATTATTTAAACCGGATCTCGAAGTTACCTGAAATTTTACAGTAAACTCTTACTTTTAATATGCTTTTGATGCATTAGAATTTAATTCGGACACCAAAATTGTACATCTCATCTTCAACCTATACTGTATATTGTTCAAAATTAAGCCATTTCTGGACAGTTTGTGGTTGTCAAACACGAGGTAATGTGATGAAATAAGAAGCTCCATACCTGCAGTGCACCACCACAGGGCCTGCGTCCAGTGGTGTGGAGGTTTTGACCCGCCGAATGAAGGCTAGCAGACCTGTGGCGTGGTATGGGACTCCATGCTCAGGCCATGATGTGAAGTGAAACTGACACACCTCATGTTTGGCAGAGTATCCCCTCTGAAAAACAGAAATAAGTCATATACAACACATTTATTTATTCATTTTTACTTATTGAAGATTTATGATTCAGAATTGCACAAATTAGCATCACTCTTCAATGTGCACCAACCAAAAACCACGGCTCCAATACAGAAACAATGATTTGCATGAAACTCTATTGGGTGTACAGGCTAATAGGTACTATAATCTGCTTCGGAACATATCATCGACTCATGGAGCAGGTGATTAGGAAATGCCTGGATGCCCTTCCAGCTGCAACCCAGTACATCCATACACTACGTTCACACACATACACTACGGCCAGTTAAGCTTATTCAATTCACCTATAGCTCATGTCTTTTGACTGTGGGGGAAACCGGATCACCTGGAGGAAGCCTACACCAACATGAGGAGAACATGCAAACTCCACACAGAAATGTCAACTGGCGAATCAGTGATGTTCTTGCTGTGAGGGAACAGTGCTAACTATTGAGCCACCGTGGCACCTTCCACATACATATTTATTGAAATAATAAACATCTCTAAATAGAGGTGTCACTACAGAGATCTGGTTTGTAGTACTGTATCAGGGTAAGACTAGATGAAAACTATTTAATTTATTTATTTAAAGAATTGTAGCAGTTTATCAGAATGAAATAAAATAACAATAATATTAGAAAAAAATATGTATTTTTAATTAAAATTATGTAAAATTTTTTATAAAAATTAAATCAAAATTTTCACTAGCTCAAAAATCTAAACATAGTTTATCACTTCCAAAGATTTGCTTTCCCATGTAGCTCCAACACACCACAGCAAAACCCAAATGAATTAGCAGAAGTGACAGTGAAATAAACACAGCTCGGTGGTTCCACTCAGGGGAGGTGCGCATGTCTATCCGACAGACCACTAAGAGACTCCATATTACTGCATCCCGATTGCTCATCTGTTTGAATACACACAAAGAAGAGCTTCATCCAAAAAGCCTCTCTGATGGTTCCTCGCCTTCGACAAACACACAGAAGCGCATCATCGTTCCTCCCACAGCCTGCGCGTGATTGACAGGGCCGCGGCAAAGCACGAAACTCGCATCAAAGGCTGCCGACAGAACTGCGCCTCCACAGGGCAGCAACGAGGACGATAAGAGAAGACAGGGGGGGTGAGGTGGAGGAGGTTAAATTGAGCTAATTTCAGTAAACGCACCCACATTTAGCCCATTGTATCAGAGAGAGAGGGAGAGATAATGAGAGCGAGAGAGAAAGAGATGCTTTAGTTAATGTGCCCGCCATAAAACGTTCTGAGATGAAGCAGCTCTAATCCTCCAACAGACAGCTTGCTGGGCCACGGCTGGGTATCAGGCGCTTCTCTCCATTTCATTTAAAGGGCTGTCACTCCAAATTCTCTCCTAACACGCATGGAGAAGGAGAACACGCAGATACACACTATTCTGGTTCTGCTATAATCCCGGCAATGAGCCGATGCATACTTGAATGAGGGATTCTGAGAGGTCAGCCTGAGCATCCGTAGGTCAAATGGAGAGAATTAATGCCTTTACTTTTGCAGGAGCAGTCTTTTGGTTCTTTTTAAAGCCATTTCAAGCCATGGCCAAACCATCAAGCAAAGTGGTGAATCGCAGTATCACAAACTTGGATTTGTGGCCTATTAAAATGGGCAAAGGTGCAAGACTGCATGCTGAACAGAGAGTTAAGTGAAAGAAATTGTGTTAATAAATATGGTGTCAATAAAATCAATCAAAACTATATGTAAACAATATTCAAATACTTCCAACTGAAATGGAATTTTAAGTAGCAAATTAACGGTAACTGTAAGTTCACGCCGAAAGCGGCAAGAGCGTCAAAGTAGTCAGAAGTCGTTCATTTTTAATGGGAGCTAGTGATGATAAGTGGCAATGAGCGTCTTCGCCGGTGTAAGCGTCGAGAAGAGTGATCATTGAACCACAGGTTTATGTCAGTCAGACGTAAAAAGATTCCAACATTCTTTAAAATATCTTCTCCATGTTCAACAGAATAACACTTTTCATTTTATGTAAAGCTGCGGTCAAATTAGATGTCAGTAACACAACATTTCTACAGATGCTGCAATGGACATTTTATGACCTTGCACTCTGCAGATGTGAGCAATTCCATGAAGCACTGTGAACCACAAGTCAAATAAAATATGACAAGTTATTATTTGAAATTGTCAATCAAATTCAATCATATTATACAAATTGCATCACATTTAATTGCAAAATATGCATACATTTTAAAAAAATAATTTGTTGTCTTAAAGAGTGAGTAAATCCAATGAAACTTGGAACTAATTTTTCAACTTAATTATTATAAGTATACACATAGTTAATATTTATATTTTGTTAATAATTTTTAAGACAGTTTTACTCACATTTTAGTAAGTCAACTAAAGCATTTTTTACAGTGTAGAAATTCATGTTTTTCTGTATTTTGATAAGATTACAAACCAGATTAAGGCCAAATTCTACGTAAATCTTCATTTATGGGTGAACTATACAATATAAGACTTTTACACTTGATTTTATCAGCATTCCCACTGTGGAATGAACCAACAACTATTCCAGAATATGTTTTACACAGTTGATGCTCTTCTTACTGCAACCCAGTACTGGAAAACACCCATACACTCTCATTTACACATACACTACGGGCAATTGAAAACATGCAAACTCCACACAGAAATGTCAACTGGCCCAGCCGGGCCCCCAACCAGCGACCTTCTTCTTGTCAGGCGACCATGCTAACCACTGAGCACTGTTTCTCAGCTTTTAAAAAAATATTTTTGCAATGTTTATAATGTGGCGTTACACCTCATAGCTGGTTCATGGCTTACAATTCTTTAACAGCAACATTTAAAAAATCCCCAGTGGATCCCCAAAGCAAATCAAACATGAGCGGCAGTGAGAATCGAGAGCATTGGAGCCGTGGTTTAGAGGCGGTGTGGTGCTCATGTGGGAGAAACAAGCCTTCTTTTCCCCATCATTTCCTGTTGCGTCTCTTGAGAAAGAGAAGTCATCTCGTACCCGCTCCAGGGCAAACGTTCTCACGGTGTACTCCGCCAGAGTTTCTGTCTTCAGTAGCGTGATCTTAATGTCTCCGTACATCTCTGACTCATCCGGCCAATACTTACAGCACTTCACCTGAAAGACAAGCCGGAAAAATAACAAAACACTTAAGTTCAAAAACATTAAAGCTTCACAGTAGCATGGGTGATTTATGATTAATACAATTTCTGCTGGCAATATAAAAATAAACAACAGCATGAAAGACTCTATTTTAAATCAGCAACAAAATGGTATTAAAGACAGTAAATTTGAGTCTTTTTCTTGTATTACTTGAAACTACAACACTTCTAAAGTGAACATCAAAATTAGACAATCTACAGTATAGGTCCCTGCTTAGTCATATTTTAAGTTATCCTAACATGAGCTGTATTTAAAGGGATAGTTCACATAAAAATAAAAATTTGATCATTAATAACGCACCCTCCACTTGTTCAAAAGTAGTTTGAGCTTTGACTTGACACTTGACAGAAGATATTTTGAAAAATGCTGGAAATAATCAGTTTTTGTTCTTACTATGGATGTCAAATGCTACTAGTTTCCAACATTCTTTAGTAAAACTTCTTTTTTAGTTCAGCAGAAGAAAGAAATTCATAAAAGTTTAGAACCACTTGAGTTTGAATAAATGGTGAGGATTTAAATTTTTGAGTGAACTATGCCTTAAGCATATTTCTGCAATTATATATTCTGCAACATAATGTGAAAAAACTTATATTATAACCTTAAACATATTATAACCTTATTAAAACCTTATAAACCTTACATTATATGTTTGTAATATAACTAAATTTAAGAACACTTTCAAAGACTTCCAAGTTACTGAGCATAACCTGGCAGCTAGTGGTAATTCTCTGTATTATTTAACACAATCTATTCAACAGGCAGCTTAACTTTCCAGTTTTCAATAATTGTGCAAGCTTCCAAAGTGACTGAAAGCTTCTGGTTGTCCAGAAGAAGGTAAAAGAATGACTCTTTCAGCCAAAGCAAGAGCATTAGTCCTTCCAAAATCTGATTTATATATTGCCTCTCTACAAAGACTACGTTTACATGGACATCAGTAATCAAATTATTCTCCTTAATCTGATTAAGACAATAATATGATTAAGATGTTTACATCAGTTACTTTTTGATTGTTCCTTTCATGATCGAGTTTTTCATATTATAGCACATACAATCATTGCATCACCATGATATCCACATTTCCTCCGTAGCTTCATGTTATTTTGGATGTTTCATTTTCAAATTTTCAACTTTACCTTAGGGCGATTAATAAAAAACTCTAAATCAAAATCTAAATTAAGAACCGATCTAATTTTCCCAGGTTGATTTTATCGATTATTTTCCCTACTGTGTGTGGAGTCATGTGTTTTATACTGATTTATACATATTTATATGGAAAGCATGCGTATGGTCCAGTGCAGTCTTAACGCAGTTGCATACCCATGCACCTCTCAAAAAATGTAACTACACGTTGCGAAAACGCATAGCGCAAGCTCTGTGATTGGTTGGTTTGGTAGCATTGACACGAGAGAGCCGGTTGGATCAAATGTTTACAAGTTTGGAGTTCTTTGGAAAGGCTGTTTTGTGTTAACCTTATGATTAAAGTTGTTGCACGTCCGCCTGCCTCTTCCCGCCTCTGAATGAGCAAGTTTTAGCTTTTTGTACATTAAGGTAGCATTCAGAAAAAGCCAACCCACAGCGAAGAAACTTGACAAAGAGGAACATAAAAACCCTATTTGGCTGTGGTCACTTTGCAGCTACATGATGTCTGGTCAAGTAAGATGATGCACCTATTCTTGAACCTTACTTTCCGCTAAATTGACAATGGGATTGTAAACTGCGCCAGAGATGCCTTGAGACAGCATATTTTCCATTACGTTAAAATTATTATTTACATTAAAATATTTGCTTACAGAAGATCCAAGAAATGCCCTGTTTAAAATATTATTTAGAGGATATGCAAGAGTTATTTTACTTAGAAGAGTTACTGCTTATTTTTTACTTTTAATATGAAAAACACAGAAAATTATTAATTTTGTTTCCAAACATGCAAGTTATTTATTTTCCCTTTTTTTTTTTTTTTGGAGAACAAATGTGACTTTGTTTTAGGCATTGTGTGTTTTATTAATGTTCAGTAAATAAACAGAGATGTGATTCCTTCAATTTTTTAAGTATATGCACCCTTCATTTAAAAATCTCTGACCGGTAATATGTGAGCATACTGTATTTACTGTACAAAACTTGTAAGTGAAGTAAGAAGGCAAAACTTTAAATATATTTATAAAACTAAAATAATTGTTGAGTTGAAATGTCAATTAATTGAGATTTTGAATTTAGCCATATCGCCCAGCCCTACTTTAACTGCAGTTCACTTTCATTCAGGAACATTTCAGTCATGCCCCAGTGACAAACTGAGGTATTAGACGTGAGTATGCATTAATTAACTGGTGGGAGAGTTGCTTTTTGTTATTTTATGTTGGAATTTGATACCGCACACCAAATGGAAAGTAAAAAATCTTCGCATTTCATGATGTGTGTGTCTGTGGTCCTTTACTGCTGACACGATAGGTGCAGAGAATAGTGGCAAACAGCCGTGTGTGCATGGAATATCCTGTTGCTAAAAGCAGCGTCTTACATGATGGTAATAATTTGATTGCAGTGTTTACATGTCTGTACTGCACTTGAATAATGCGACTAAAGTTGGTATTCTCCACATTCAATTACTTTTTAGTTTGAATATGACTTTAATCAGATTAAATTTATCAAAGATCTCTGTTTACATGGTAGACTCTTAATCCGAGTATTGTCATAATCATATTAAAATCAGATTATTGGTGTCCATGTAAACGTACTCAGTGTCACTAACTGTCAACGACTGCTTATGACCTTCAGAATTTTTAGTTTTTGTCCAAATGCTAGTATTATTAATATATATGTATGAACAACCAACTTATCTAGCATATGTTTTTCGCAGCGGATGCCCTTCCAGCTGTAACCCATCACTGGGAAACACTCATACATTTTAATTCACACCAACTACTGACAATTTAACTTACCCAATTCACCTATACTGCATGTCTTTGGACTTGTGGGTGAAACAGGAGCACCCGGAGGAAACCCACTGTGCTACCCACTGCGCCACTGTGTCACCCATATATTCACATATATAGTAGCTAAATTTTTTGACAAAACAAAGAGTTCTTATTAAAATGCTCTTGTTGTTGTAAATCATTGTTCATCTACCACGATAAAGCTAAAACTACAATTCTTTAACATTTGCAACAATAAATACAGTATATTGAAAGTATTAAAGTGTTGATATTAAAGAAAATGACAATATTTCTAAATGTTTCCACACTTGAAATGTTGTCAAATCCAATTTTGATTTGCAGTTTATCCATTAATCAACATTTGAAGTTCATTTTGTTCTAAAACTATTTACCAAAATTAATTCTTCTCTTAGGACAATTTTGGAAAAAGAAATTCATCCACTTTACAAGCTAAAATCTCTCACACTCTCTACATACATTATATGGCATATTTATTTTATACCTTACACTCTGTTCTTAAAGCATCACAGTGTTCAGACTGATGAAGTGAAAGAACTCCCTCCTTGCATACTGTAAACCGGGTTTATTTCTGCACGCCTATTACGGTTACACAAACCGTTAGATTTGCTGTCGGACCTAAGCCATCATCCATTTATCCCCGCCGTTCACAGCTTTTATCATAAAAAGGAAAGCGTATTTTTCATAATAGAGCCCCGATTTCATAAGAGGGCAGGGACGGGCCGTTAAGAGGACTGTTGGCAGCAGACTCCGTCTCTGAAGCACTGAAGGGGCCGATGCGGGTGCGGAGAGGAAAATGAAAGAGGAAATTATGTCGGAGGAAGAAATCGAGGTGGCTTAAAAAGGCTGGAACGAGTGGGCAACAAAGCAAAGGAGTAAAATGCATCGCATGAATGTGGGAATTATGAGTTGGAATGACAGATGCTTCAAATCTTATTTTTAGTTGACAGCTATATAGCAGTATTTATATAAAAGGAGCATGTGATAGCTACAGTCATTCTTGATATAAAGTAGTGCTTGTTTTTATTTATTTATTTTTTTTGGTAAGCAGCAACTGAAGTTACAGAAGCTACATAAATAAAGATCAAAGAATGCACATTTAGGGCCCTATCATACACCTGGCACAATGTGGTGCAAGTTGCGACACAATTGTTGTTTGCTAGTTTCAGCTTGGCGCAAGAGTCATTTTGACGTTTTGCGCCACGCTGTTTAAATAGCAAATGCATTTGCACTCTTATGTGGGCCCATAGGCGTTCTGGTCTGAAAAGGAAGGCTTTGTGAGGCGCATTGCTGGCGCGTTGCTATTTTGAGAAACTATAATGAATTTTTCAATAGACCAGAACAAAGCCGGTCTATTGTCCAGCGCAGAGTGCATTAGTTATGCGCCTCGCTTACACACTACTTAATACACACAAGATGTAGAGCAACACGCAAATATCTTTACATATGAAAAAGAATTAAAATATTAAGGGTATTTATAGGATATGATAAGGATATATAGCCTATACGATATAAATAAAAAGGATTAAAATATTCCAAAACAAATTATTTTCTAGCCTACATAAATTTAAAAAACCATACTTTAATATCTTCTTCATCTCAGGGGACTTTTTCAGTTTATTCGTGACAATTTGCTTTTGTACAATGTTATTATTAGTAGCAGTATTATTTATTATATCCATATTTATATTTTGTTTTATTAAAAACAAGCTTAGATTTGACCAGCTGTCAGGTTTCAGACCATATGGGGCACAGCATGTGTATTTAGATATAACTCAGTTTTTTGACCACACTACGTTATTATTGATCATTTATTGGTTTGCTGGAAATTAGAACTGAATTTAGAAATAGTTTTAAAACAAATCTTTGCGCTTAACAAATGAAATTAATTATTTACAGGCTAATTGATGTCTGTGCGTACAAGGTTTCCCTATAAATGAGAGCGAAAGTGAAAGTAGATAATGAGAGGCCTTATCTCTCATTCTCCCGCTGCAGATGTTCTGTTTAACTGTTTTCTCGCTAGTGAAGCGCTCAGCTTTTCCACTTACAAAGTCGTCATGTAAATAGCAAATGCGCTATGGCGCGACACAACTGGCTTTTAAAGGGAATTGGAGATGAGACTCTGATTGGTTTATTCCTAAAACACACCTATAACTCATTAAGAAAATAAGCTCAACCCTTTTAGACCATGTGCCACGGCGCAAAGCAGGTTTTTCAGCGCTTTGCTCTTTGTGCATGGATCGTCAAAAAAGAGCCCTTAAAGTCAGATGCAAGATCTAAATGTATATCAAATAATACAAGAGATATAACTGCATCATAACTAAACATCATAACTAAAATATAAAATATATAAAACACCCATTGATGATTGATGAATGTGAAGCGATGTCATTAATTTCCAAGCGCACATACACATCACACAAACCTTTAGCATTAATGAGTGAATGAAATGTTTGGGGTTGTGGTGAATGAAAAATGCCTTTAGTTGATGGGTTAGTGTGCAGATGAGGAAGGATCTAGAACATACCCTGCCCACCTCCACTAGCTTGGTGATCATGACGATGCTAAAGCAGTTCTCCTGCCACACCATCCTCCAAAAATCATACACCGTCTCCTGCTTGGGCCCTGCAAACAAACACACACACAGACACACAACCACAGTGAATGGCAGCCAGTGCTACAGATGGCAGGTTTAATTTACCAAGTGTCATTGCATGTTATAAGGCAGTTCAGTAATCCAAAGCCTCACACAGAGTAATTCAATAGCAGACGTTTCTGGTGAATGGAACCGTTCTGAACCTCAGCAGGATGCGGCTCTCTGATAGAAAAAGCTAATTTCTCTCATCAATTGAATCTGCCTCCAAATTCAATTAGGGGGAGAAAAACAGACAAACTACAAACATGTAATGATTTATTTATGGGAGATCTGAAACGAGGAGGGTGACCTTGTTTTAGTAGAGCTGAAAAAAAGGAAAGGGGATGGGCTATAGCTGTTATTTCCCTCCTATTCACACATATTGCATTTGCTGTCATGCGGAGACTTTCTGTTGACTGCTGTTGTTTGCAGACTGAGATATAAAAGGATTTGCATGTTGAGATGTGCCTATTATATTGTTATTATGTTTATGAAGCTGATTCCTGAGTTGGCTGGAGCACAAATGTAGGGAATTTATGTTTTTTTCTTCATGCCATACAATATGTACTAAACAGTTAGTGTGATAATATCTCTTTGTTAAGTCGTGATGTATGGAATACCAGGGGTGTTTGTATTTGTACCATGTATCAACGCTGCGTATGCACAAAAACTTTGTGTATGCCAGATTTCACGCTCATGTTTGGATTTACTAACGAAATTAACGTGAGAATGTAGGTTGGTCCGCACCAACTTCATGTCTGGGGTATTTCTTGTGTATCTTGTGTGTGTTTGTTGTATTTCCATTGGCGACTCCTGGAGGCACTTATGGTAAATTGCACACTACAAAGTTTCGTACCAACAAATGTGAAAAACATTTGCATTGACACATTAAATTAAAATTGATAAAATGGTTTAATTGACACAATGATAATATTGATTTGGAAAATATAAAAGTATTTGCAAATGTATACAATCCTTAGTCTATGTCAATGGCAGTGTTGGCCTTATTAGAGGACATTTTTAATGGTCAAATCCGAAGGCTCTAAGGTGGCAGGGTGTACGATGGGTGGCTTCTTGGTAAGTGATGTATTTAAAGATATTATTCCGGCTAAGTTTCTTTTTCTTTTTTTTTATTGAGCGTAATTATTTAACTGCATATCAGGAGACTGCGGTTATCCATTAAAGACGTAGCTGTTAACCCCCCTCAACAACCCACAAACTGACCAAGAGAGCAGACACAATGATGCTCATTCTCAATTGTAACTCTTATCTAGAGTTTTACTGTTGATTGATGAGCATTGTCCCTGTTACAAATAAACTTAAACTTGTTTGAAACGACCACTTTTTAGTCGTATCACACATTAAAATGAATTTTAGATAAAATCATGGTGTACACTACAGTCTCTAGACTTGCTGCATGTATCACAGACACCAATATTTTAACCATTTATAAAAAAAATAATAATAATAAAAAATCACTTTCTGGTCATCAGATATTAGGCATTGATATATATATAAATATATAAATATATATATATATATATATACAGGTGAAGTCAAAATTATTAGCCCCCTTTTGAATTTTATTTATTTATTTATTTCCCAAATTGTTTAACAGAGTAAGTAAATTTACACAGTATGCTTGGTAATATTTTTAAGTCTTATAAAATAAGTCTTATATAAAATAAGTTTTTTAAATTTTTAAAACCAGTTTAAGGTCAAAATTATGAGCCCCTTTAAGCTATATATTTTTTTCAATAGTCTACAGCAGGGGTTTTTAAACTGTGGGACGCACCCCACCAGGAGTGGGGTTTGTGTGTGGATCTTAAAAATTTTGTAAAATTGGCTAAAATTGAGTGCACTGGGCTAAATTTGGGGAGGTGTGTCTCCTAAAAATTTGAAAAGCCCTGGTCTGCAGAACAAACCATCATTATACAATAACTTGCCTAAATACCCTAACCTGTCTAGTTCACCTCATTAAGCCTTTAAATACCGTATAAGAGTGTCTTGATATCTAGTAAAATAATATTTACTTTCATCATAGCAAAGATAAAATAAATCAGTTATTAGAGGTGAGTTATTAAAACTATTTTGTGTATAAATGTATTGAAAAAATCTTCTCTCTGTTAAACAGAAATTGGGGAAAAAATAAACAGGGGGGCTAATAATTCTGACCTAAACTGTATACAGCCTGTTTGAGAATAAACTTCAAGGTTCTGTAGTCACTGTGCTGGTGGTTTTGGAAGGGATTTGTCTCTAGGAGACAGCAGAATGTAATCCTAACTCCAGTGCAGCACCTCTATTCACACACCTCTATAATTTCCTGGATCAGAACTCATTAGATTCCATCTGGAGGATCTCTGTGTTCTCAGCATCTTTCTATCTCTCTCTCTTGTGCATACACACACACGCACACACACACAGAGAGCTCAGGCTGAGGCTCAAGAGAGAAAGTGTCTCTCCCTCATGGGATTGGAAAATGCCAAACTGAACCACATAAACACACACACACACACACACACACACACACACACACACACACACACACACACACACACACACACACACACACACACACACACACACACACACACACACACATCCATCCATCCACAAGTCCTGTCCAGACAAAGATACTCACCCTGAGTGGCGATGAAGTGGTTGGATCGATGGTAACCCTAAAAAAAAAAAAGAATAAGAAAGAGGTGACATGCTGTGTAAGCCATTTGTGTCCTAGAAACTTCACACTACTCTTAGAGTATTACTGTTCTTTAGAGTTTCGAGGTCTTTAGTTCTGGCTGTCAACTTCAAAATGTCTGTTTTGAAAGCTACAATTTGAAAACACCAATCTGGGGTCTTGTAATCTCAAATGCGACATCCATGAGAAACTTTACAGACAACACAACTTTTATTAAACTACTAATACAACAGGAATCTTCATCGCAAGCAGGAGTGCATGATTTTAAATTAGGGCTATCAATCCATACAATAGTGAATCTTGATTGGGGTACATGTTTACATGAGAACTATGTAATAAAAGTGCATTTTTGTTCATTTGAATTTTTTTTATAGTTTATTGAACTGATGATATTGTTGTCAAAAACTGTGTCCCCTTCCCCTTGTAAATGCCTGCATTGTAAAATGCTTTATGCATCCGAGTTTAATTAATGTCAAGTAAACACCCCCGTAGTTTAATTATTGTTGTGTATAACACATTCATTTCACACTATTTATTTCTATTTTAATAATATAATGAAAAATTTAATTAACAGCAAAAAAATTCACAGTAAGCATATTTTTATTAAATCCTTTTGTCAATACAATACTTTGATAGTCCAATTTTTAATATATTTTGTCTCCTATACACTTAAAAATGATATTGCTGCTTGATCAAACTACTTATTACACAATTATTGGCATTTTTTGGGGGGACAACCTCATTATTTTATGTTTAATCCACTTAAGTTTGTTAAGCTAACTTAATTGATTTATGTTAGGACAACCTGAATCAACCCTGCATTTACAGAGCATTTATATTGTACTACTAGTCCCCGACCCCACCCCTCCCTTTTGGTGTAAACATTTTGTTAAGAAAGAAAACGTTTCAATTGTTACAGTCAAGCTAAATGTAATTAGGTATCACACACAAGTTAAAAATAAATGGTATCTACATTGAAAGTAAGATAATGAAATAATTATAATACATGTACAAAAAAGCTATATGTAAATTAAATGGATAGTTAACCAACACAATTAGTTATCATCTACTTGTTCCAAAGCTGTTTAAAGATATTTTAGGGAATGAAAGCAATTTTTTTGTCTACTATGGAAGTCAATGGTTACCAGTTTTCAGCTTTCTTTAAAATATCTTATTTTGTGTTTATGATGAACCAACCTTTTAAGATGACTGCAAAAATGAATCTAAACAAAAACATCCCACTATTCCATTTTAATGATTCATTAAGTTTAATCTGACCTCCCAATACTAATAGAAAACTCTACGGAGAGTGTGTTTCATTATTGAAATTTAAATAAATGCAATGCAATTTTGGGGGGTAAATAATTGTAAAGAAATAACAAATTTAATATGAAGGGAAAAAAGAAAAGAAAAAAACAGTTAGCAGCATAGCTAGTTGTGTATGGTACTCTTCAACACAACTAAAGCAGCTAAACAGCAACAAGTAAACAAACAAACAAACAAACAAACAAACAAACAAACAAAAAAGCCATTTAAAAGTAAGTACAAAAGTAATACTCATTTGCCAGGACATAAAACTCATCACAGAGGACATCAACTCCCAACACAACTCCATCGGCTTATCTTGGGGAAAGTACAAGGGAAAAAGAAACATCTCAAACATGCAATTTATTTATCAAAGCTAAGCCTTTTTAAAGAACTACCTGGGGATGGTCCCAAAAAGTGGATCTGTTTTCATTAAACAGTCATTAGTGGAGTAATAGAGGCATGTTCTTTCTTGCTTGCTTTCTTGCTTTCTTGGCATTTGCTGCTCTGTTTAGAGACGCCTGTTATATTTTAGACTGGCCCAAGCTATTTCCTCAACACTGTACAACCAGCCACAGAAGCAAACACACTGTAAATGGAAAAGGAAATTGTCGGGGGATGTTTGTTCCACAAATGATTCATTAATCTATGGGTTTGGGGAATACAGGAAATGTTTGGAATGTAACTGTTGACTAAGAGAAGCAGTAGAATGATGGTTTTTATTTTTTAAAACAGAGGTTTTCAAACATCATTAATGCCAGAAATCCCCAAATAAGATTATTCCAAAACTCATTCATTCATTTTCTTTTCAGCTTAGTCCCTTTATTAATCTGGGGTCGCCACAGCGGAATGAACCACCAACTTATCCAGCATATGTTTTACGCAGTGGATGCCCTTCCAGCTGCAACCCATTTCTTGGAAACATCAATACACACACATACACTACGGACAATTTAGCTTACCCAATTTACCTATACCGCATGTCTTTGGACTTGTGAGGGAAACCGGAGCACCTGGAGGAAACCCACGCAAACATGGGGAGAACATATTCCACAAATTCCACACAGAAACGCCAACTGACCCAGCCGAGGCTCGAATCAGCGCCCTTCTTGCTGTGAGGCGAACGTGCTACCCACTGTGCCACCGTGCAGCCCAATCCAAAACTCCTATACAATAAAAGCAGCTTTATATAATATATTATTAGATTATTCCACACTTAAAAGAGTAAATGATTTAGTAGTTTTTTTAGGTAACAATTTATATGGGCTGCTTTTAAACCAACAAATTAAGTTGAACATTACTAAATTGTATTTGTCTGTTTAAATTCAGCTCATATAAATTGTTTACAATGTGTTACCTCAAAAAATAATGAGTAAATCCAATAAAACATTATTTTCAGTGCATGGTCTGTTGAGATTCTTGATTCTGATTGGCTGGAAGGTGTGCCATAAATAATTTTTTTTTTACTTGTGACTGCTGATACAAAAGTCATAACAAATGAAAATAGCTTGGCAAATGCCCAAGGAATAAGCGGGATATTCAATGGCTTGTAATGCATTAAAAAGCTTTGGGTTGGGCAGTTCTTTTCCTCTGCATCGTGCATCTAAGATAAGATATAACACTTGGTAATACTTAATAGTATTACTCTAAAAGTAATAGTCCATCAGTTAATGTATTCACTAACATTAACAAACAATTAATGCATTTATTATTGTATTTATTAATCTTTGTTAATGTTGGTTAGTTAAACCAGCAGCCAACTTATGGGCTATATATACACCTAGCTAACTTAAAATACTCTTGACCTCAGTGTGTCACAAAAAAAAAAAAAAAAAGATACCACTGGAAACAAGACATGCTGAGGATTAGACAGTTTTACGTTAAAAATGATAAAAAAAGTTATACATTATGAAGTACTGATAAAGAAAAACTGTACTGTGTTCAATAATTATTTTTCATATATAAACACATTAAATCAGAAATCTAAGCACCTAAATCTAACCCTAACAATTTCAAATTTAATGAAGAAAGCATGTAAAATAAGATTTCTGCAAATTTATTTCATTTAAATGTTAACTCAAGGTGCATCAACTAATGTTAGCAAGCACAACTTTGGAATTTTATAATGCATAAGTTAATGTTGAACTACAATTTATAAATGTTTTTAAAGAATATTTTGTTTATACTTAGTTATTGTAAGTAAATTCTTTAACTAACATTACCTAATGGACCATTACTCTAAAGTGCACCCAGATGCATTAATGCACAGCAATCCATGTATTTTTTTACCCTTACTTATTATTTATAAAATGCATAATATTATGATATTATCTAAACAATTGAAACATTTAAATAGTTAAATTAGAATTGTAGATTTTTAGTCTTTGCAAATACATTTGTATATACAAAATATTTCTACCAAAGTGTCATAACTGTCTTTAAAAGTAACTTTACAGTGAATTGCAGAATACAATTATACAACCATGCAAAGAAGCCTAAATATAATTAAAATCCTTCAGTGCTTTACTTTCTATCACAACAAATTAAATATATTATTGTTATATGAATACTATTTATCAAATGTTCTAAGTTTGGTGCAGTCATTTATAACTTGAATGTGCAAGGCTTCCAGTTTCATCTGTTACACGTTAAAAAAGCTATACAGAAGCAGTTTAAATATTTGTTTACAGTTTACTGCACTTACTCTTACTCCTTCAGGTATTTATCTACTCCACGGCAGCTAGCTACTGATTCAAGTCTTGCACATTCAAAGAAAACAGCTTATTTCCTCTCTGCAAAATATAGTTTATTAATCCTTTTTATCAGTATGACAACCATGGACAAAGAGCAAAGTTTAGTCATACAGGCCTTAAAAATAAACGAAGGCATAGTACATTATGTACTGTAGCATTGCAACAGGATTTATAGCACAGTAACAGGGACTGTCCCGTTAAGGAAAATGCGAGGTATGTGTCTCACTCAAGGGCATGATAGCGATAGGAGATCTCAGCAATGATTCAGTTCATGGGTTGCCCATATCTGCCATCAAACCCTTATTGATCGTATCATCATACCAAAGCCGCAACTACCCCAATGCAGCTAAAATCATTAAGATTATGATGATACATCATGCTTAAACGTAGATATGTAAGGGCTGATTTGAAAATACAAGGAAAGTTCACAGGACACAGAAGCTCATTAAACTGAGAAGAAAAAAAAAGCAGCACAAAAATAATAAAAAGGCTTGACAACACTTGACAACACAAAGCAACTCACAACTCTGGAACAATGCTTAAATAAATGCATTGCATAAACCGCTCATCTGTACTGTATTTGATTTAAGAGATGATTTTGCCAAAGGTCTCAGTTACTGACAACATTTTAAAATAACTTTCAAGTAAACAAATTGTTTTCTTAAGTGTTACACATAAACGGCTTCAATTAATGTTCTCACATATGCATATTTAAACATGCACAGCTACTTATCTGCTGTATTATGATAATATAAACTTTAATACGAAAGTTATCATGAAGTGTCACCTTGCTCCTTTTCATACATTCATCATCAGGAATAAGAGTTTGAAGGGATAGTTCACCCAAAATTAAAATCCTGTCATCATTTCTCACCCTTTAAGCTTCTTTTAATAGGGTAAATGATGACATTTCCTTCAAAAT